GCATGATTTTTTGTATCCATCCTCTTCTCTCCACTTACATGGCAACTAACCTAGTTTAGTTCTTCATCACTTCTCATGTAGACTATTTTAATAGCCTTCTAATTGGTCTCCCTGCCTCAAGTGTCTCCTTCCTTCAATCCATCCTCTGGTAAGCTGTCCAAGTAATTTTTCCTAAAGCAGAATTCTATGTCACTTCTCCCTTTACCAATTAACTCCAGTGGTTTCCTATTCCCTCCAGGATCAAATGTAAAATTCTCTTGTTTGGCACTATTTATTTATTTATTTGTTTTTATAATCTGACTTCTTCTTACCCTCCTAGTCCCCTTATATTTTGCTTACTTTTCCTGCATTTTGAGATTCAGTTACACAGATGTTCTTGCTGTTGCTGGCACACAATACTCCATCTTCCATCTCTATGCCTTTCCGCTGGCTATCCCTCATACTTGTAATGTTCTCTCTTCTTTCCCCTGCTTACTAGCTTCCTTTAAGTATAATTTTAAGTTCTACCTTCTGTAAGATGACTTTCCCAGTTTTCCTCCTTTTTTCTTTCTTCCCCACAGTGCCTTTTCTCTGATAATATCTGTTTGCTCTATATTATATAGATGCTTGCAGTTTTTGTCTCCCTCATTAGAATATTCGCTTCTTGAGGGCAGAGGACATATTTTTGCTTCTCTTTGTATCTGTAGTGCTTAGCACAGCATCTGGCACATAACAAATTCTTCATAAATATCTCTTGGCTAATTAATTGACTGACTGAATGATGTAGCTGAGAAAAAAGCTGCCTCTCAATCAAACCTGTTTCCGGGATTTCCAGGGATGGATCTACACTTGGATGCATGCCACTTCCTCTTTCACATGGCAGCCACTGGCATTTTAACTGTTGGTATTAGATATTTGAAACAACAACAACAAAAAGCAACAGCAACAATCATCAGCAGGACATCAGGGGAGTTGTCCTCTTGTTCAAACCACTCTGTCCTTACCTTCCTGCTTCCTCACTTTATTCTGTTCTGAATACCTTAAGACAAGTAGCATATTTTAGAAAAGACTGTTTTTATGCAAAAATCTCCCAAACAATGTTTTTTTTTCCCCTAAAACATAGCCTTAGCAAACAATTTATATATACACTGCAGGTAATTCCCTAAATATTCTGCTCCAGAGCTTACAGCAACATTCACTTCTTTATCTAGTTCTGACCTTTGTGAGCAAACCAGTCTTCAGTTATCTATGCTGTGAAAATCATTACAAATCACTTTTTGCTTTAACTCCTAGAAAGCTCAACACAAGACTCAGGTTTCTGCTGCAAAATCCATTCCTTCTGGTCCTCCGACTTAACATTCCAGGCTGATTGAAAGAAAAGATTCAAAGAATAGCTTTAACATTTTTTTATATCTGCGGTCTGCCTAAGACACTTCAACAAAAAAGAGTTTAATACCAAAACCTGAGGTGGGGTGAAAGTCAAATGAATCTGGAACACAAAGAGTAGGAACTGATAGGGCTGAGAAGTTGTGGTACAAATTTAGCAGTCCATCCTTCCAACTGCTATGGGCTTGTGTTGCCATCATGCCGCCAGTCCCACATCTACAGCAAGCTCTCCTATCTACCTCTCTCACCCAAGCAAACATGGCTTCAGCCTACGAAAATTGGATTTGATCTTGTAAAGTTTTTTTCTTTCCAGATTTAAACTTATGATCCTATATTAGGGGAGATGATTGTCATGCCTTCCACCAAAGTCTCTGCCTCCTTGGGAAGATGGTGATGGAAGCACCAAATGCCCTTAAGGATGACTGGTTGTGCTGTAATTGGAGTGGGCCAGATTGCAAGGGCTGTAGGTCATTTCTTCCCCATTGCAACAACACTCTACCATTTGCCATCATTGTACCACAGGAGGCTTTAAGGCTCCTGTGGTACAATGATGGCAAATGCTTTTGTGCTGCAGAGGTGGGAATCCGAGTCCTTCTTGCACCCCAGGTGAATGCCTCCTCACCTTTTCCCATGATGCCATCTGGCAAAATTTCCACAGCTGGCTTTATGGTGTCTCCCCAAGTTCCTTCCTTTTTCCTAGGTCTGCTCTGCTCACAGGGTTATTGTGAGAATCAAATAAGAGAATATATGTGGAAGTGCTTTGGAAACCATAGTGTTACTAAGGCAAATGCAAAATGTATTATTATTTATAATATGTCAGATGATTTTACTTGCTTTTCAGGTTATCATTTTGAGATGACCTGATGTCAGCTCAATGTCCTCCTCCGCAACATGGGGTTAATATTGACTAGTTTTTCAGGTAAGCTTAAATAAAAAAAAAAAAACCCAGACGCTCATACTTTAATGATCAAAATGAGCCCTGAAATCAAATCAGCAATTTGCTGCATTGGGAGCAAATGGCCCAGTGAGCTCTGCTCATTATTTTGAATTCTCTCTATGGTTTCCATATGATTTTCTCTGGAGTGCATTGCTTTCCACTTCACAGAAATCTTCGATGTAAACATGGATCTAAGCAGAGCAAAGCAAAACAAAAGGCCCTTCTTGAAAGTTATGTTCTTTTACAGCTTTTAAGCTAGCTGCTTTCCCTGTTTCAACCTTAGTGATCCAGGAGGGAGCTGAGGACTGGGCAACCTATCAGAAAACAACAAGCATTGAAAAGTTTGGAACGGATGAATGTTATTACTGCAGCTGCTTACAGGATGCTTTTCCCCTGGCTAACCATTTCTTTAAATAGAAATTGTGAAAAATCTACTTCTAAAGCCATAGCCTTTTCCTTCATCCCTCCCCCCTAATTTAGAAGATAAATATATATTTATAAGAAAACCTTGCTATAATCATTTCTGTCTGAAATACTAATGGACACCCAACAGTTAGGGCCAACAGTGAAACCAGAGGTGTGACTGACCTGAAGTCTTCCAAGACTTGATGAGGAAAGTACTGATATTTTATATAACATAATAACTCACATTTATTATAAAATAATAGTATCACAGCTCCAGTGAGGAAGGATATTAGAGGACATTGAATCCAACTCTCTCATCTTCCAGATAAAAAAACAGGCCTACTTTCTTACAAGCTACCTCCCTGTCTTTTAAGACCTCTTCCCCCTCCTCCACCTTTTCAGTTTGGGGACCATAATCTAATAAATACTTCTACTACTTCCTGAAGGGGTATATTAATATACTATTATTAATATAAATTTCTATTATTTATAGTATTATATATTTATCTAATAATTTATATTATATATAATATTATATATTAATTAATATTAGTAAGTATTAATATTAATACTCTCCTCACCACCCTTGTAACTTTCCAAACCAACATACCAATCTCTGGCTGCCACTTCCCTATATGTGCTTTTGCAGGCATTTTAAGCTCAACATATCTCAAATCTTCCTTCCCTAAATCCTTTCCTTTTCATAATATCCTTATCACTGTGGAGGATGTGACCATCTTCCTGGTTATCCAGGCTCTAAACCTTGGCTCCTCACTCTCATATCCAATCACTTGCCAAGTCTTATCATTTCTACCTTTGTAATATCTCTCATATATATCCCCTTGCCTCGTTTGACACTGCCACCATCCTGGTGTAAGCTCTCATCACCTCACACCTGGACTATTGCAATAGCCTAATAGTGAGTCTAATTGCCTCCAGTCTCTTCCTACTCCAATCAGTTGTCAAATTGGCATTCCTGAAAGATAAGTCTGATTATATCATCTCCACTCAATCCATTCAATCAATCTGAGTGGATCCCTCTTACCTGCAGGGTATATAAATCCTCTGTTTGGTTTTGATAACCTGGTCCCTTCCTACCTTTCCAGTCTTATATCTTACATCTTGACTTCCTGCTTCCTTCCAAGTGCTATGCAATTCAATAACACTTCCCTTCATGATGTTTCTTATATACAACACTTCACCTCCTGGAGAGGTGTTTTCACCGGCTGTCCCCCATGGATGGAACTCTCTCCTTCATTTCTACCTTCTTCCTTCTTTTAAGACTCAGTAAAAGTCCCATCTTCTGCCAGAAGAGTTTCCTGATTCACCCCTTCCTCCCACCAATGCTAGTGCCGTTTTGCTGATTATTTTATGTTAATATTGTATATCTCTTGTTTGTACATATCTGCTTGCATGTGGCCTCACCCATTAGACTGAGCTCCTTCAAAGCAGAGATGGCCTTTTGCCTTTCTTCGTACCTTGAACAGTTAGCACAGCATCTATCAGTAGTGGGTGCTTAATACATGTTAATTAGCTGATTGATTAGTGTTTCCAGCTGTTTAGTGTTATTCTTGGCACATAAAAAGGGCCTAATAAATATTTATTCACCCATCCATCCATCCATCCATCTCATTCATTCATTTGTAGATTAAGTGTTTTGCTGAAGGTAGCAAGGATCAAAAATGGAAGAGGGAGAATTCAAACCAAGGTCCTCTCACTCCAAATCCAATTATCTATTTACTGCCCCAAGCTGCCTCCAGTGCCGCCTCCATCTGTATTATATTGCTGCTGCTGCTGTTCTTCATACTTGAAGAGGACCAAAATGACACTATGTTGGGGTCAATGTACAATTTGTCCAGTTGTGGCTAAGACCAATATGAGCTTAGAAAGGTCTATCACAGATTGGGTACAAATAGCCCTTCAAATTTACAAAGCATTTTAATCACAACAATCCTGCAAGGTAGGTAGTGCAAATATTATTATTATCACTCTATTCCAGATTAGAAAAATAGCCTCAGAGAGGTGAAATAACTTTTGGTGATAATGCAGCTACAAAGATTTGAAGTCAGGTCATCGGGGTATAAATCCAATACTTTTCCCACAATGCCGCTTTGCCCCTCTGCTAAAAGGCGAAGACAAGGAAAGAGGATATTCTGGTTAATTATCTATCTTGATCAATGCTACTGCTAATAACAGTTCATATTTCTCTAACCCTTTACACTTTACACTTTTCCTCATGACAATCCAAGGAAGTACATGTGTGGAACAAATGTGGTTTACTATTTTTTTTCCAGGTGAGGAAGTTGAAACTCAAGGAGATGATTATTTGCTCAATATCATATGGTAAGTGATAGAATCAAGATTTGATTCCAGATCCTCTGATTCTGAAACCCCAAACTTTTCCTCATACACCAAGATCTAAGTTACTCCACTCACCAGGTGTAGATGAAATGATTTTCAAAGAATTTTAGTATGTAAAATATAATCAACACTGCAATTCCACTGAAAATAATTTAATATTTTCTTAATTATTTAGAAGGCACTTCAAGATCTTTCACTGCCTCATCTTGATAATTAGGAAGTTTAATTATCATTGTATTTGAGAAACATGGAATGCCATCTAATTGAGAAGTCTTAGTGATAGATTGTATGTCAGGTAACAGGGTTAATTTTTCCTCCAAATTTCCACATGACGAGAACCATGGTATATCTTATCTTGTTCCATTTCCTAGGTAAGAAAAGTTTGTTATTTAAAAACAAGAATAAGAGAAAGATTAGCTATATTTGTCTTCTGAAATACAGCCCTCAATGTGGAAAGCTTCTCTGAGTTGATATAATGATGTCATTTGTCTTCCCTACTAAATATATATATATATATATATATACATATATATATATCTCAATCATATATATAATTATATATAATATATATATATGTACATTATATATATATATATATATATATATATATATATATATATATATATATATATATATATTCATCCCTTGATTATTTGGAAAGTAACATCTATATTTATATCATTACGTTGAGTCTCTAAAGCCTATTGATTCTATTTCCACATTATTACATACACCTGTCACCTTAGAACTCCAACTGTTACTACCCTAATATTGAGAGCTTCCTCTAACAAATCTCACCATCTCTAGTTTTTCCTTTTGTCCAATCCATTCTACACACTACCTCCAGATTGATATTAAAATGTAGAACTCTCGTTTGAAAACCTTCCCTGGTTCCGCATTTTCTGTTGAATAGAAAAATCCACACTTAGCTATGGAGATTCAAGGATCTCCATAGTCAGTATCCAATCTACCTCTCTAGCCTTTTTTTTTAACCCTGTTCTCTATTGTATACTCCAAGCCCTAGTCAAACTAGTCTACTTGTGACCTGAATATGCCCAGTGATTTCCCCCTTATTTGTTTTTGTTCGTACTATTTGATGTACTTAGTATGTGCTTTCCTTCATCTCTTTTTGCCTATTAACATTCTATCTATTGCCTCAAAGTCCAGCTCAAAGCACCAATCTGCATGAAGGCGTCTCTGATCCTCCTAGCTGTCACTACTCTCTCTCTCTCTCTCTCTCTCTCTCTCTCTCTCTCTCTGTCTCCATCCTAACATTTTGTTCTCTACTTACATAAATCTTGTTACATATAGTTAGTAGTTAATAAATATGTTAAATTATTTTGAATGATTCCCATTCTAATTTTATTATACATTCATCTGTACATGCCTTCTTACCCATACCAGATAGTAAAGTCCTTAAACACAAGTTCTGTGTCTTATCTTGCTGCCCTACATCACCATTCAAAATGTATTACACACAACAGGGTCCTCACACATCTTTGTTGAAAGAATGAATGATTGAATGAAAAAGTTTTTACTATGTTTTTAACAAACTTATTTTTTTAATCATAATGACAACCTGTAGAATCTCAGCTGTTATTATCTCTGTTTTTCAAATGAGGAAAATGAAATTCCCATAGGGTATGGGGTTTGTTCCAGCTCACCCAGAGAGTCAGTGAACTGTATAGGACTAGAATGCAGATTTCCTTCTAGTTCAATGGTTCATTGACCTACTTCTCTGCGTGGCCATTGCTTACTCTGTTGATTATTCATGGTGAATTTTATATGGTGGTTTGCTTGTTCCCACTATCCAACATGGTCCACAGTGGTCACCATCTTTTGCTGAACAGATGGGAAATGTGAGAACTAGTTTCAAGATGACTAAAGTGTAACCTTATGAGGGCAGAGGTTGTCTTATTTTCTGTTTACCTCTTCAGCACCTTGCACAGTATGTTACGCATTCTTGAATAGAAATGAATTAAAAATCAAACATGTGATAATTATGAAAGCAAACCTATGAGAAAAATCACATTTGCATTTCAAAATCAAACATCAATGTTTTTAAGCCTCTCTGCTTGTGGGTGAGTGACAGGTGGCTATATCTGTGTTCTATACCTGGCTTTGGGTATTTTTAGCTGCCTTTAATGGATTAGATTGAAAAGTTCTCATTGGTAAAAGTTATTTTTATTCCATTCGTGTGTTCCTGGGTTGTGCTGATGGGTACCATCATCCTTATAGATTATAAGCTCCTATAGGGTAGCAATTATGTCAGTCTTGTTTGTATCCTCCACAATGCTTAGTAGAATGTTTTGTACTCTATGGGCATACACTCTCTATTTGTTAAGGCAGAATTAGTTAAACTGAATGCAATCTCTTGAAAGTGACATAGTGAGCTTGGGATACAGGTGTATCTGCTTTCTAGAAAGATGCTTTAGAGGTAGTTCCCAGTGTTTTCATCACAGTGTATGTGAATGCTTTTACTGAGGTGTTGTCAGAATTCTAACACATTTTTTTTTTTACCTGAGGCATGTGTAGGCTTCTCAGCTCCTATTACTTACAATAGTAAGTAGCACAAAACCAGACCTCAGACCTGGAGTTCCCACTCTATAAGAAGGAGGGAGATACCTTACAACACTTATCTCTGGGGCAGGAGACTGGTGTTGGAGGGGCCACTGGAGCAGGGAGGAACAAAGTGTAGCTAGCCAGGCCATGGCTTGCTATTTTTAGTTTTTGTTTTTGTTTTAGTTTCAGTTTTAAGGGTTTTTTTGTTTTTGTTTGTTTGTTTGTTTGTTTGTTTTTGCTTTTTTTGGTGAGGCAATCGGGGCTAAGTGACTTGCCCAGGGTCACACAGCTAGTAAGTGCCATGTGTCTGAGGCTGGATTTGAACTCAGGTCTTCCTGACTCCAAGGCTGGAGCTCTATCTACTGTGCCACTTAGCTGCCTCAATGGCTTGCTATTTTTAATAGTCATTTTTGCTACTCTGGCGCTAAAATTTATTTTTTTCAAGTGTCATATGGGGTAAAACCCTGGTTGCCCCATCCCAGCTTCATATCTTTGTGTTATATCATGGTTGAGTTTTTACAGTTTCAACATTACAAATTCTAAATAGAAGTAGCCTGACATTTCAAAGTGTTCCTATTCAACAACCATGTTCCAATGACTTCCTATTGTAATTCATGGGTTGTTATGTTAAAGATTCTGACAAGAACCAAAAAAATCCCTTGTGAAAAGTTGATGCATTTATACATTTTTAAAAAACCCTAAGTGTACTAATTACTTTAGAGATGAGATGTTAAGCAAATCCCTAGGCAGGGAGTATAGTGCCTCTGAAAGTGGGTGTTACCATGTCTACCCAATGGAAAGGGAGGTATTTACCTATGCACAATTACCCTCGGTAATTGTGTCCCCTGTGGAAAACAGGCTTTACACATTCTAGTGAAATAATTGCCCAAGCCAGAGGAAGCATGTTAGCATCAGAATACTGGCCTGGAATAACTCAGCAGGGAGTAGGCACCAAGCTGCATCTGAAGCTATGGGACACTCGTGCAAACATATTGGTTGCCAAACCTGCCACAGGTGTATACTGCATGAACAGGTGCCTAAAAATAAAGCAGGATTATGAGGCAATCCTTCTAGGTTTCAAAATGCACTAGTCCCAAGGCATGTATGTACATCTGTTCTGTGTCTGATGTTTTACCTTTTAAAAATATTTAAAATCAAGCTTTATGGTTATTAGAGTAAATGTGCATAGATATTGGACACTGATTGAAAACACTGAATTTTGAAGGATTTGTATCTTCCACAGTTCCTAGAGTTATGAGTATGATGCAGTAGGAATGCGAGAGCTATTTCTTCATCGATTAGGAGATGTCAGTGTTCAAAAATGAAACGTTTGTGATTGGTTTGGAAATATATGGCAAACTGCTTACTCCTGGATTAGGTTTGCAACTGCATGAAATCTTCAGAAATGCAAATGCATTTAATTTGTTTCACTGTTACTACCTTTCCCACTATCATCACACCTTGAGCATTCTAAAGAAAGGGAGAAAATGCCATAGTCATGCACTTGCTTTCAAAGATTACAATTCAAGGATTTCCTTTTCTCTCTTTGATTTTTCTTCCTTTCTTAAAAACAAAACAAAACAAAACAAAACAGAAAACAAAAAACCACAGTTTATAGTGATTGTCCTTACCTCAGTTGAGGTTTGTTGACCTTTGTACCTTGTAAATTCCCTCTAAGTGTTTCAACAGGGTGGAAGAAGGTTATTGGGGGAAAAATAACCAAACAAACCAAAAACCCAAGAAATTTTATTTCCCTAACTTCATTTTCATCTACCTGTGGAGGCGAAAGTGTACAGCATCTTGTCTTGCTATAAGGGCTATAAGAATGCTTGTTTATGTACAATACTCCTTTTGAACATACACCCGAGCACTTTCGGAAGAATCCTTATGCAGCACCCTCTAAGACATGCCACACACAAGTTTATATTTTGCCAACCACATTCATCAGCAACCTCAATTAGATTTTTTAGGTATCAGAGAAAGGAAAAGAAAAGAAAATGAGTTTGGGCTAATTAGTTCTCCACTGGGAGAAAAAAAGAACGCAGAGACAGAAATGACAGTATGCTTTGCCTTTTTGTCTCAGCTGGGTGGGTTGATGGCCAAACAAAGTTTTGACTGCAAAGTTTCTCTGATGTCCTGGATGCTCAGATTCCATTTCAGTTTCCTCTATTCAAAGCAAGATTGGAGAAAGTCTCTGGGAAGTGTGAGAAGTGATGAACCTGCCCATCCACTGCACTTTAAGGGAAAACGGGAGGGGGGAACCCAGAGCATGCATGTTTTCACAAAAGAATCATTTTCTTTTCAGCTAAGAACACATAATGAGCTGCTTTAATTTTAATGAGTTTTAATCTGTCATTGTCTCTTTTTGCACATATGTTTTCCAAATCAGCTTTCCATTGTCTGTATATAATACTGGGATG